TGAATGGAAATGTGGATCCAGGCACATCTGCCAGTGTGTTCATATTTTTTGTAGGGTGCACTCCGTTGCCCTACCTCAAGCAGGGTTTGAATGGAGAACACGTGAAGTTCTAAAAACACTCTGGTTAAAATTCCTAGAAATAACCCTCAATATCCACCTAACATAATTTGGTTAATTTACATTAGTATAATTACATAGGTGATTATTGAAAATTCTCCACGCTGATTGGTTGCCGTTGAGGTGATTATTACGCGATAATCACCTAAGCGATTTTCAAAATGGCGGCCGAAGCCTTTTTGTCAATTGAATGACAAAGAAATGTGTATTTTCTTATTTTTTCCAAGTAATCACCTATGAAATTATACTAAAACAATTATTCACCTCAGGCTCGGTGATTATCGTGAATAAAAACCTCGACTTCGTCTCGGTTTTTATTCACCGATAATCACCTCGCCTTCGGCGAATAATTGTTAAGTAACCAAGAGGCAATTAACTAGGCAATAGGTTAAAATAGCCAGGAAAATCAATTGTAGTATTAAATAGTTGCTATCTTTGTCCAGTTTATTCTCCAACCCTTGTTTCGAACGCTATTTGATTGTGTTTCAGGCTTAATCTAACGGCTGCAAACCACGTCATTCACTATGACTTGTGGTATAATCCAGCAGTAGAAAACCAAGCCACTGACAGAGCATTCAGGTATAGATATACTGTATATTGATTGTGTTTTCTTTACGCTTTGCTGCTTTTCCTAAAACTCTGTTCCTGTATAGAACACTTAACACTATACCATTACCAAGCCAAATAGTATACCCAGTTATTTAGAGTAACTTTCTTATATTTCATGAGATTTAACTTTTTACAGTAAATGTGTTATTGTGTTACGCTAATCATGTATCTTCGGCAAAATTAGATTGAATGATCATCTCAACCTTATGTTGTTCCACTCCTGAAAACATGCGTTGCCTATAGAATTCAAATTATGTTAGCAAAAATGGCAGAGCAAATTTAAAACTATCATTCGGAGTTAGAATGAGCTGTGGCTTTATATTAACTTAGCTATAGTATGAAAGTTAAAAAACATCACTTAGACGAATGACCAGTTATTTTCAGTATCAGAGAGTTCCTCTCAAATTCAAATGTTTTTTATTCCAGAATTGGTCAGACAAAGAATGTATTTGTTCATCGCCTGATTACTCAAAATACTTTCGAAGAGAAAATTGACGAAATGTTGAAACAGAAACAATCCTTATCAGATATGAGTGTCAGTGTTCAGGAAAGTTGGATTACAGAACTATCGAATGAAGATCTTAAGAAACTCTTCATGAGAACACCTTAAAGAAAGAAACGCGTCTTGGCCGTGTAGTGCAGTGTATAGTGTGGTGACGTTTGGTTTATACCTCAAGAAGTAGTGTTTCACCATGGTTGAAGCGACAGTTCTACGGTAAACATTTCTTGCATATTTTAATTGGGGGAAATGTTTTGTTTTGTTGGTTATACGAGATGGAATGATGACATCCTGAACGTGTGGCACTTATTGTTGCGTTTGATATTTGAATAGCAAATATAGATTTGGAATGGCTGGAAAGTGGCAGTCGCTCCACAATGGATTCTTTTAAATGGGGGAAATATACAGGGTGTACAAAAAAAGGTAATCCAACTTTGACATGTTATCGTGCGTTAATTAATACGTCAATAGGTTGTCTTTTTCGTATTTATAAAGATCAGGCGATCTGATTTAAAATGATCTGTTGAATTTGCATTTTTCCACCTTTGAGATTTAAATGTTCTTCCAATTTTCGAACATTTTCCCAAATGTTTGTTGCCCATTTGGAAAGCATATGCCATTGTGAACCCAGTCTGCAAGCTTCCATGAAAAAAGTAAATGGATAAACGTAATATACGATAACATGCCAAAGTTGGACTACCTTTTTTTATACACCCTGTATAGTAAAAAATTGTTTTGTTAGTTTTCGTTGCTATATATATTATTATGTGAGAAGAATTTCCAGAATGATATTTGTAAAGATATTTATGTTATTTTATTATATAGATTATATAATATATATATTGTAAGTATAACAATAAATTTTGTTGTATTTTTTAATGTTGTATCATAAACTAAAAAGTGAAAGTGTAACATTAACTTTTTTGGTAAGCCGTAAAATTCCTTAAAAATAGAAAAATTCTACTTTACATGTCCATTACTGTCGCCTTTCGGTAATTACGTCACATATCTTGTTTTGGCCTGGGAGCCTCGCTCTGATGAATTGTGAGCCAATCACCGTTCATCTTGAAACATGAGAATGAGGCTCCCAGGCCAAGATGAGATACGTGACGTAATTATCGAAAGGTCTATTGACAAGCCATGAAACAGCCTTGTCGACATGCATATATTCTCAAGAGTACCACCAACTGTGCCTTTCTACTTGTCCGCTGGTCTCGCTGGATTGCTAAATGTCTGCTGGGTTACTATTCGCAATGTATCCAATTAAAGGCCCGTTTACACGGGCGATTTTTGCTTGCGATTTTAGTTGCGAATTTCTCCTTTTGGAAGATGTAAAGGAGTGGATGAGTTATAAATGTTCCAGGTTATGAAATCTCATAACAACATTATTAAGCAATCTACTTCTTCACATCCTCCAAAAGGAGAAAATCGCAGCAAAAATCGCCCGTGTAAACGGGCCTTAAAGGCGGTTTTCCACTAGGCGAAATTTTTCGACCGAATCGAAATTTCTCTTTGTTTCAGAGCTCTCGAGCAGAACTAATTGTAAAAAGACAAAGAGAA